GGATAAATATTACCCGCCTTACAGGCTTGTTAGGAAGACTGAATGAACTAGTGCATATAATACACTTTGAAGAGTTTTCAGTACAAAATATATACTACATAAGTGGAAGCAAAAACAAGTTAACTAAAAAGCATAAGACCTTCAATGGCAGAGATGCTTCAGTCTTCTGCCCTATCTATACTTTACGCCCCCATGACACAGAACAATGTCAGACCCAAAGTAAATGCTCAATAAATACATGTTGAAATTAACTACATATGTATAGTAGCACTTGCTTTGAAATTACCCTATTAGATACTCTTTACAGTATACTGAGATATTTGTATTAGGATGCTCATTACAACACTGTTTGTAAAAACACCCAAAAAGAAAAAAAAGATGGAGGAGGGACATACTAAATGTTTAACAAAAGGGAAGTGGTTAAACAAATTATGTATATCCATATACCAGTAAACTGTGCAGCATTTACTTAAAAAAAAAAAAAAATGCGGTAGAACCATATGGAGTGATGTAGAAAGATCTCCAAAATACCTTAGGTGAGATGAGCAAGAACACAGTATAATAAATAACAATATGCATGTACCATTTATATCTAAGTTATCTGAACATTATACCCTAGAACCTTTAACAATGGTTACCTGTGGGGAGAAGAGTAGATAACTCTTACTCAGCCTTAAATAACTTTTGGGAGCTCTGGTGGCATAGTGCCTAAGGCACTTGACTGCTAACCAGAAGCTGGCAATTCAAACCCACCAGCCACTCCTCGGAAGGAAGGTTGGGCAATCTATTTCCACAGAGATACCACCTCAGAAACCCAAGGAGAGGTTGCTATGAGTCAGATCCGACTCGATAGCAGGGAGGGTTTTTTTTTTTTTTTTTTTCCCAGTTTCTAAATAACTTTTAGTTCTTTAAGTATTATTCCATCATAAAGTTACACTTCTACTTTAAAATTTTTCAAACCTTCTTGCCTTGAAGGATGTTTTATGCTCTTGTGGGAGATTTTCCCTCTCCAGAGCCAGAGTGAGCAGAGAGAAAGAAATCGGAGGAGGACAAAAAGATGATGAACTAAGTGGGAACTGGGAAGTAAATAGATATTTTACTGGCAAATCTGCTGGTTTACTGGCTAGTCGAAGGGGGAGGGAATCCAATAAAATGGCAATTTTTAGAGCAGCCATTTGGGTAAATATGAGCTAATGCTGATTGAGAGCTTACATGTGTCAGACTGTGTTTAGCCCTTTCCAATTATTGTCTCATTTAATCCTACCTGTGAGGAAGGCACTATTATTATCCTCATTTCACCGAAGGGAAAATGGAGACGTGCCATTAAGTAACTTGCCTGAGGGCACACAGCTCAGTAAGTAGAGAGGCAGAGATTGCAGCTCCTGCAGGACTACTGGAGACCCTGCTCCATCATGAGCATCCCAGCAAGCAGAGCTGCCATGATGTGGCTAATTCAGGGGAGGCATAAACAGCGGAAGGAGCCCTGATGGCACATGGGTTAAGAGCTCGGCTGCTAATCAAAAAGTTTGCGTTTTAAACCCACCAGGCACTGCATAGGTGGAAGATGTGGCAGTCTGCTTCCAGAAGGATTTCTAGCATTGGGAACCCTGTGGGGCACTTCTACTCTGTTCTAAAGGGTTGCCATGAATCAAAATCAACCCTATAGCAGTGGCAAGACGTTTTTTTTTTAAAAAAACAGAAAAACAGGAAGTTCTTGAAAGATCTATCCAGCCTGATTCTTATGACAGTACCCATCATTAAAAAAAAAAAAAAAAAAAAATTCCATTTTGCTTTCAGCTTATTACAGTCACTAGGATATATACCCCAGTCAATTCCAAGAACTTATGAGCAGTCTCATATGTTAGGGAAATTATACCACTGAAAGGTCAAAAGCTGAAGAACATTTACAGTCAAATGGGTGAAAACACAGAATGGATTAATCCTGGGCATAAGAAAATTTCAACTCCAAGATAACTAAGCAACATTCACAGAAACAGTTTTAAGTTAAAAAGATCAAGCATTTTCTTAAAATATTTCTCTATCACTACACACCAGGAGGAGCTCTGGTAGCATAGTGCCTAAGGCACTTGACTGCTAACCAGGAGGCTGGTGGTTCAAACCCACCAGCCACTCCTCAGAAGGAAAACCCACCAGCCACTCCTCAGAAGGAAGAGGAGGCAATCTACTTCCGTAGTGATACTGCCTCGGAAACCCAAGGAGGGGTTGCTATGAGTCAGGTCTGACTCGATGGCACATAACAACAACAACAACAACACACCAGGAAGATGGGCAACAGTACTGATGGTAATTTCCCACAACTTGTTAGTTGCATACAGAAAACTCTTCCTGCGGTTTTCAAGAAAGAGTATGGGATCTGAAAGACAAATGGAGATGGGTAAAATCTTGAAAAAGTTACTTAAATGTGACATAGACTCAGTACCTCCACGTAAAAATCGGGTGATAATAATAGCTACTGCTGTTGCAAGGATGAAAGTAAATGAGAAAACTAAGATTTTACCTATCTTATTATTTGTCACATAAATCTCTCAAGAAAGTAAGTTTATTTTCCTTCGTTTCCCCAAAATTGTTGTCTAACTCCCATGCTTTTCCTTTTCTATTCAATATTTTTTCACTTTGCACAACCATTCCCACACTTAACTCCTCCAAAAATGCAAAAAGATGGTGCATTTATCAGGGGACTCAAGCTCCTGAGAAAGGCATAATGACTGATTTCAGATAAACATAATTTGCTTTCTTCTAACAATATTATAACTTGTTCTATTCTCTGAAACTTGAATTTTCAGTTAAATTAACATCTACAACATAACATGTTGAAGAAGTTCTGGTACATCCCCTCTGCTCCCCTTCTTTCCCTCACCTCATTCCTAAACCTCAATAGATGGACTCTTGCTTTGGGCATTCTCAGATCCCCTCCTAACCCACAACACCCAGTGACATCCCAATACTGACAGGGAACTAAGCCAACTGATAACTAATAATATACAAAGGAAATATTCATGAGTACACAAGCAGGAATTTGATTAACATCTAATGAGTATTCAATGTATAGATACAATTAGCAAATGACTAATAGGTTTAAAGATAATAGTACTTAAAGAATATCACTTGTGAGTACTGTGCTCCTTTAAAAACTCAACTGTATGAGACCAAACTGTCAACAATTACTTTAAAACAAAGATGAAAACTTAAGGGGACAGAGAAACCAGATTAACGGAAGTGAAACAATTAGAACGGAAATAATGAGAATGTTGATGCATTGTGAAGAATGTAGCCAGTGTCAATGAACAATTTGTGTAGAAATTGTTGAATGGGAAACTAAACTGCTGTTAACCTTCACTGAAAACAATAAAATATTGTTAAAAAATAAAAAAGATAATATTTCTTCTTTCCTTTCTTCTAAGGAATATCAAAACCAGACACAGCATATTCAAGACTTGTGATCATTACTGCACTATTGGCCACACTACCTGTAATAGGGGCTGTTATCACATCAAAATTATAATGCCCCTAACAAAATAACATTTACTCTGTATTTACCCTTTAACTTTAATGTATAAAATGCCCCTGTGGTGGGTCAATGATTCCAAATTTTAAGAGTCCACAAAAAGGTATTTTTGTTATTGTTGTTGTTGTTGTTATGTGCTGTTAGGTGCTGTCAATATTTCACTCACAGTGACCCAATGGGACAGAACTGCCCCATAGGGCTTCCTAGGCTACCATCTTCACATAAACAGATCATCAGGTCTGTCTCCCATGGAGTCCCAGGGCGGATTTAAACTGCCAACCTTTTGTTTAGCAGCCGAAAGCATAACCATTTTACCACCAAGTCTCTTTCCACTAAACAAATACATTTAAACTAATAATTTGACCAAGTTAACCATCACATTTGAGGGAATCTCATCTTACAGATACATTTTTACCCATGTGCAATGATGCATGTCCACATTATTTAATACATCAATGTTGTGAAACATCAAAAACTGATAACGACCCAAATGTTTATCAAAAGAAAGCTCGTTAAATAAATATTGGTATGCCCAAAGGATTACACAGCCTTTTTTTTTAAAAAAAGGAAGTCCTCTTATACTGAAATGCAAAGACCTTTAAAACATATTGTTAAACAAAATGAACAAGGCACCAATGATTGTGTATTTTATACTACTTTTGTGCAAAACTAGCAAGAAATAAGTAAACACATTTGTATTTACACATACACAGCTTTCTTGTTTGTATTTACATAAAGAAATATCAGAATAGCATATAAGAAAGCAGTAAGATTGGTTGCAGTATTAGTGGGAAGGGGAGCTGGTAAACAGGCAGGTGGTAAACAGTTGTACAAAAAAGATTATTTACTGAATACCTTTGAAATATTCATGAACCATGTGAATATTTATCTACCAAAAAAAATGTATATTAAAAGCCCTATTAGTGGTAAAAATGGCACTCTATTCCCTCAACATTAAAACACTCTCTATAAAGTCACATTTTGTGATTAACCATGATTCTTTCTCCTCTTCTTTCTAATACCATACATGCCCATAAACAAAACAAAACAGAAATGCAAATCAATGAATTAAAGAAAACTTCTGTAAAATATATATGTACATTTAAAGAGTTCTACAAAGTTTATTCAATAAATGTTATTATTCTTACTCATATTAAGGTGATCTGCAGTCTTCTATATTTATTTAGGCCTCCCTAGTCCACAGAACAGGAGCTCTGGTAGCGTAGTGGCTAAGGCACTTGACTGCTAACCAGAAGCTTGTGGTTCAAACCCACCAACCACTCCTCGGAAGGAAGATGGGGCAATCTACTTCTATAGCCTTGGAAATCCAAGGAGGGGTTGCAATGAGTAGAGTCTGACTCGACAGCACATAACAACAATAACAGTCCACAGAATATTTTTGTCTAGCTGGCTCTCGATCCTCACAAGTGACCAGGGGAGAGCTATCATCGCTGCTGCTGAGAGATAAACTCACCTTCATAGGTGCCAACTTCCAGAAGCGTTCCACTCTGTTCAAGATCCAAGAACTCCTTCACAGTAAGAAAGTTATAGTCCACTCCAGGCACTTCTCCTTCTCTCGGAGATCGGGTTGTGCCTGTAGCACAAAAGACAAAGGCACAAAACACCATCAGTCAACTAAAAAATGAAGCTCCAATATCCAGGTGTAATTAAAAAAACCTGTTCAGTAGCTGGAATACTCAAGACTCTGCCAACTCCACTGCCCAGACAGGGACCTGGTAAACACAACTTCTTTCTAAGAGAACAACATTCCCACTTCCACCTCCCAGCGCATGGAATCCCCAAACAGAGAAAGGGAAAACTGCACACAGCTAGGTAACAGGGAATGCTTTTATCATTTTCTAAAATTCATTGAATGAAAAAGGTGAGCTGGATTTTATACAGACAACAGTTAGAATCAGCAGCTTTTAGGACTCTAGTAAATACTAAAATATAATCCACTTTAAGCTCAGAGCCTAAGGGGTTTATAATTTTATCACAGGCCTTGAAATTCTTGTGTTCTTTAATATATCCAGCAAGTCCGGCAAGTTCCAAAGTAATAAGCCCTTTGAAGAAAATGACACACACTGCATAAACACATTACTATAGAAGTGTGATTGCTCAAGATTTGTGTTTGGACATCTCCCAGGAATTAAAATGCTTCTATTCTCCATGTAATTAATATGTTCAGCAAAAAGAGGCCACCCCTAAGTTCTGACTAGAGAGAATAAGTATTGCATTTGTTAGAAAATTCTTTCCCCGAATTAATCTAGCTATCTTCTCAATTCTCAATTCTTCCAGCCTCTGCTGTTACTATTGTTAGGTGCCGTCGAGTCACCTTCAACACATAGCGACCCTATGTACAACAGAATGAAACAATGCCCGGTCCTGTGCCTTCCTCAAAATCCTTGCTATGCTTGAACCTATCATTGCAGCCACAGTGTCAATCCATTGCCTTGAGGGTCTTTCCCTTTTTTGCTTATCCTCTGCTTTACTAAGCCTGAAGGCCTTCTCCAGGGACTAGTTCCTTCTGACAACATGAACAAAGTACATAAGGACAAAGTCTGACCATTCTTACTTCTAAGGAACATTCTGGTTGCACTACCTCCAGGACAGATTTGTTTGTACCTCTGGCAGCCCATGGCATTTTTAGCATTCTTCACCAACACCACAATTCAAATGCATCAATTCTTCTTTGGTCTTCCTTATTCCTTGTCCAGCTTTCACATACATATGAGGCGACTAAAAATGCCACAGCTTGGGTCAGGCGTACCTTTGTCTTCGAAGTGACATCCTTGTCCTTCGACACTTTAAAGAGCTCTTTTGAGATGTGCCCAGTGCAATACACTGTCTGATTTCTTGACTGCTGCTTCCTTGGGTTTTGACTGTGGATCCAAGTGAATGAGATCATTGACAACTGGCCCCTAGAGTATTTAAATCACCCAGCTCACATGTTAGGTTGTGGACTTATCATTCAAGCCAGTATCAACCAAAAGTTGTAGAAAGAAAGAACAGAATGTGGCTCACACATACACCAAGCAAAGAAAATAAACCAAGAAACAATTATGTAGTGTGTACTAGGAGCCTAAGTTAAGTAACACGGAAGACTGAAAAAGAAAAAATAACTGATTTTCGCTCCCATATTCAAATTAGGGAATTTAAATGACAGGCACATTTTGCTGGTGCTTTTTCCTAGATTCATACTTCATACATTCCACGTTCTGATTATTAAAGGGTGCTTGCAGCTGGTTCTTCTCATTTTGAGTTGTCCCACATCAGCAAATTAAGGTCCCCAAAGTTTTACTTCATCCCCATCACTAAGGTCGACATTACTCTGAGGAGTCAGCTCCTTTCCAGTTGTATTTCAGGTGCTTTCTGACTTGGGGTGCTCATCTGCTGGCACTAGATTGCCAAGTCCTTCTTCTTAGTCTGTCTTAGTCTGGAAGCTCTGCTAAAACTTGTCACCATGGGTGGGTGAGCCTGCTGGTATTTGAAATACCAGTGACACAGCTTTCAGCATCACAGCTACACACAAACTACCACAGTACGACAAACTGGCACATGAATGGTGATATATAAAGATTACAGAGTAGACAACCCTATGGGGCAGTTCTACTCTGTCACATGGTGTCTCTATGAGTGAAAATCAACTCAATAGCACCTAACGACAACAACTTGATAAGATAGCTAAGTCCTTTCTTCAATCATTAATGTTCCTGATTTTACACCACACAGTACCCCCAGTGACATAGTTTCCAGCATCACAGCAACATGTAACCCACCACAGTATGATAGGTGTGCATTAGGGTTGTACCTTTTCACCATACTTATTTAATCTGCATGCTGAACAAATAATCTGAAACTCTGGACTATATGAAGAAGAATGCAGCACCAGGATTGGAGGAAGACTCATTAACAACTTGAGATATGCAGATGACATAACTGATTGCTGAAAGTAAAGAGAATTTGAAGCACTTACTGACAAAGATCAAAGAACACAGCCTTCAGTATGATTACATCTCAACATAAAGAAAACAAAACTCCTCACAACTGGACTAATAAGCAACATAATGATAAATGGAGAAAAGATTGGAGTTGTTAAGGATTTCATTTTACTTTGATCCACAATCAATGTGCATGAAAGCAGAAATCAAGAAATCAAACCACATTGCACTGGGCAATCTGTTGCAAAAGACCTCTTTAAAGTGTTAAAAAGCAAAGATGTCACTTTTAGGACTAAATTACATGGCCTGACACAAGCCATGGTATTTTCAATAGCTTCATATGCATGTGAAAACTAGACAATGAATAAAGAAAATGGAAGAAGAATTGATGCCCTTGAATTGTGGTGTTGGCAAAGAATACTGAATATACCATGGACTACCAGAAAAGCAAACAAATCTGTCTTGGAAGAAGTACAGTCAGAACAGTCCTTAGAAGGGAGGATAGCGAGACTTCCTTTCATATACTTTGGGCATGTTAGCAGGAGGGACCACTCCCTGGAGAAGGACATCATGCTTAGTAAAGTAGAGGGTCAGCTAAAAAGAGGAACACCTTCAATGAAATGGATTGACAGCATGGATGCTACAATGGGCTCAAACACAGCAATGAATATGAGAATGTTGCAGGACCAGAAAACATTCCACCCTCTTAACTTGCTATGAGTCAGAAACAATTAGACAGAACTTAATAACAACATAGTGTTTTGCCCCTGGGGGTATACATGTTTAAGGCACTTGGCTGCTAATCAAAAGGTTGGAGATTAGAGTCCACTAAGAGGCATCTTGTAAGAAAGATCTGTGATCTACTTTAAAAAAAAACAGCCATTAAAAACGCTATGGAGCACAGCTCTACTGTAACACACATGGGGTTGTCATGAGTCGGAGTCATCGCCATAGCAACTGGCAATGGTGTTTTCAGGTATTTTGCACTCTAAATAAGCATGGTTTTTCCCTATGTCTAGGATCTCTTTGTTCAACTTTAAACCAATTAAATAATCAACAGTACTGCTAGAAGTTATAAGGTTCCTAGCTCTGTGCATTCTCTGATTACCTGCCAACATGAATGACCATGTCCACACACCTCCATTAGATACCCACAGTGCTCTTAAGAAGTTAAAAACTCAACACCTGTTGCATACTTAATTCAAGCTAAATAAATTGTTTTACTAGTCCAGCTTTCTAATATTTGAAATCTGAGTATTTTAAATAGCTGCAAATAGTTCAAAGCACAGTTGTATTACACATATTTTCATATCATTACATGCTAGGTCTTTCTGGTTTAAGATGCTTGTTTGTGTATTATTTGTAAGCCTATTCTTTACAATGTTTCCTAATTTTCTTTCATTTCTGGCTCTCCTGAGATGTGATAATGAGTCTCTGTTTGAAAATATACAATTCAAGAGTCAGGCATATAGTGCTTACTTATAAGAAATAAAGACAAAATCATGGAGTGTTGAAGAGAAGAGGTCTGGAGTGGGAACGATGGGTTCATGGTATGACTCACCATTTAATAGCTTTAGACATACTTCTTAGCTTCTCTTATTTCTCAGGTTCATCATCTGCCAAATAGGCAGAACTTACTACTCCATGGTTCTCATTCTGTTGTACACAAGGTCACTGTGAGTCAAAAACCAACTCGACAGCACCTAACAACCACAGTAATACTCCATGACTGTTTGTGTGTGTGTATTGAATGCACTAATCCTTTTAGAGGTTTTGTTGTTGTTGTTGTTGTTGTTGTTATGTACTGTCAAGGTTTTAACTCAATAATATTAGTGGATATTATAGTTTATGTTATTGTCCGAATGAAATAAGTTGACAGAATCGTACAGTTCAAATATCACTACAATAATAATCTCAGATATTATATACTTATATTACCTTATTATCGAATGCCAGTATAAGCATATAAGTATATGTCCTATGTACATATATGTATGTCATTACGCACAATATACATACTGCTATTTTCAAAAAATTGAAAAATAGTTCATTTACTTTCATGTAGGAAATGGGGAAACATCAGTGAACAAGACAAAACCCCTCTCTACTGGAGCTAACCTTTTACTATGGGAGACAGAAAATAAATATATATTTGAACAAATGTATATCATTACAAGTGGAGGTAATTCTTCTGTAAAAAAATGAAGGTTAAAGGGCTATAAGAATTAGAAAGTGTCCTGGAACAAAGTGGGGAAAAAGGGAAGCTACAGTATTTTAGACAGACAATTGGGAAAAGTCTGGCCAAGCTAATGCCATTTATATTGAGAGTCTTGTAAAGGTCATGGGAAAAGCATCCCAAGTGGAAGGAACAGCCAAAGGTTTTAAAATGGGGATAGGCTTGTCATGATGAGGGAAAGGCAAAAAGGCCTTTTGTAGCAGAGTGAGGTGTAAGAGGTTAGATATGCAAGCAAAGGTCCAGACAATGGAGGCTGCAGAAAACATTTCAGATTTTATTCTAATGATGCTGGGAAGTTACTAGAGGGTTTTGAGCTGGGCAATGCCATCATTCAACTTTCATTTTTCAAAGATTACTTGACTTTACGGAGATCAGATGGGGTGAGGGGATGGACAAGATAGAAGCAGGGAGACCAGG